GGGCCCCGGCTGCGCCATGCCGAGCGACGCCACTGTTCTATTTATCGTGCTGTCCATGGTGGTTTTTGGACCGCTCTTCGTCTGACTCGTCACCTGAGACCTGTCTGCCATGGGAGGCCCTACCAGGGGCATGAAGCCCCAGACAGCATAGCTTCCAGGATCATCCGAGTACTCAAACTCCCCCACCACGTTAAGGTGGCAGTCCAGGGGGGGAGAATAAACATCTAATGTAAATTAAGGAATGCCTTGATTAGTCCCACAGTGAAAATGAGATGAAAAATAAATCTAGTTTGTTCAACTTGCCCCATTGGCTTTTATTCTGCAGTTGTTATAGAATTATACTATATGTATATAGTCATAGAACCTCTGTATGATCAGGAAAAACCCAAATCGATTATTAAATAAGTGGAACACTATTTCAGTAGTTGGTTAGTAGTGATTAATTGATCAAACAGCCGTAGTTGACAGCATTCCAGGGGAGAACATTGCAGTTTAGTGGCTGGTGTGCTGAGACAACGTTCATATAAAAGAAAGTGAGCTGCCACTTAAAATAGTTTCAAACACAGCAGAGGTTCTTCCTCTTCAAAGAGACAATAAGCTTCTTGGGGAACATTTTGAGAGATAGTTTGGCATTTTGAAATAAAGCACATTCTCAGTCAGTCAGTCATTAGCAGACAAAATGAGCGCTTGGGAAAGTATGGCCGACGGCTGTAGCGAGCTGTGAAGAACCCAGGCGTGCTGAGGTCATGAGTAAACACAGAAAGAGGCTTCGAAGAGAGAGAAGGGGGGGGGCATAGGGGCTGGAAACACATCTGCACTGCCTTTGATCCCAACTTCTGCAGCCCAGCAGGCCACTCACCTCAGCTGCCCACACTGCAAAACAATGGCTTACAACGCTACGGATCTCTGCTTTTTCCCAGGCGGCCCTCCCTCTGCACTTGTTTCAGTTTAAGATGCGACTTAAGTTCAACAAATTAGGAAGGATAATAAACACAAGTTTGTTTATTTCAGTTTTATGCAAAGGAAGCGAGTTTCGATGCACTCCTTTCCAGGGTTTCTGGGTCAAGCCGATATGGTGATCGTTTTGGATCACAAAGAAGCCTGGTGATGTGAGAAGAGCAGAGGTGCAGGACAACAGCATTCTGTATTCAAGTCACAAAGGCCACTCGAAATATAATAAGGGTAAAAAACACTTTGACAAATAGGTGTCACGGGACATTGTAGTTTGAAATAGCTTGAAATGCAGTCTGGAATATAGTGCATGGCAAATTAAATTCATAATGAAGCTTGCACTCGAGTTTATCTGGGGTGAAGGTCATCAATGGACAAAATGTTAACAATAAAAACAATGTGGTGACCAGTGAACGTCTAAGCTTGTTTTTCTGCTTTCTTAAAGCCGGGGTACCTAACTGTGAAAATAAAAAGTGAACTATATTCCCTCTGACTAGTTCCTCGCTCTCAAAACAAATTGGTTCCATCAATAGTTTTTACATGCACATATTTGGCCTGTCACATTTTTAGGTGACCCACCCTAATTCAGCTCAAAGCATCATAGAGTGACTCAGAGGGCTCTTTCTGCAAAAGATAACATGTTGCAATAAGCTGGAGGAAGAATGCTGTGGTCTTATTTGTTCACATAACTTTACTTTGAAACTTTACATTTAGCCAATCATTTAGTTTGTTTGGATTTATTAAAGATAAATAATGGAGGATGTTTGAGGGCATTTGGGTTGAAGTCTCTCTAACATGTTGTGACCTATATTCACATATCATTTCATCCTTAGAAGTTAAAAAGTCTCTTGCAAGTTGTTCTGTGTTTTTCCCCTTTCACTTTTGGCACAAAGAATACTGGTAAACCATTCATGTGACGGTCAATTATCAAGCTAAACTGACCTTAATGAAATGTAGCTTCTTAATGAGTCAATCAAAGATGCCAGCAAGCGTTTATGTTCCGCCAGATCCGACAACTTGGATCTTGGTCGTGATTAGCGGTGACTAAAGCCACACTCCAAACTCGACCACATTATAAATGACACATACAACCAGTGTCTGTGGGATCGAGCCCGGCAGAACAAGGCCAACCATGATGTCACCTCACGTCCTTCATGCACCATCACCTCCTGACCTTCTGAAAAGTGCTAATTTGATGAGTCCACATTTCCACTGCGGTTGAAGAGTTTTGCCCGAATACGCATAAGCTCTAACAAGAACGAACTGAACCCTCTCACCAAAACATGGAGCAATTTTGGGACTAAACCTTTCTGCTGCAAGGAGTTATGCAGTAAAAGCCCCTCACTTGACATCTGATTACTTCTGACGCGTAACTATCGCATTATTCTTGTTAGATGACAGCGCAGCACCAGCTCTGACTCATTGTTTAACCTCTGTTATTGGGATTTCGAATTTTCCTTGGTTACATTAAATCGCCCCAACTTACTTTTCCGACATATTAAAGTGAGGATGTAAACAAATTATTGTTTTTGTCATGTGAAAACTTCAGCCTCTCTGTCTAGTATCTTTCCTCAACAAAACCACAATCGAGTTTGGGATCGAGAAAGCCTGGCCACAAGACTCCCACCCACCAATTCCCCGTGCTTGTAGCGCAGGAGCCCAGAGAACCACATCCTGGCGCGGGGAATGCGATCGAAAGCAATGCCTCCCTCAACTGGAAAATTGGTTACACAATTTGAACTTTTTACCGACGACTATAGCTTCACTAAAAATATTGCAATCCCTGCTTTCTTTGGAAGCCAAGTGTAAAGAGTGCAGAGAAATTCAAAGGGGGAACAATAGCAGTAAGCTCGTAGAGAAACACAAGGCCACTGATCATGGTTGTACCGAGAGTCATGTGAGGCCTTGATGTGAATGCCAAGGTGAAAGGGTCCACCGTGTATTTCCAGAATGCTCTGGGGGAGATTGGGATCATATGGACTGTTTTTCTGCGTACGACCTAGGAACAGCGGGGCGAGATGATACGAAAACACAAACTGGAAATTATTCTCCGGATACGTCTGAGTCCTATCAATCAAGTTGCATGACACGAAAATGAAGATGATTATGTTAAATTGTCTGTAAAGCCAGTCTGTGGTTGAAAAAAAGTGCAGAGTAAATCCATAAACTTTTCAACTATGGTTTGGTGAAAATGCAGGAAAACGGTACCAAGCAAAAGACGAGGCCAAATCCTGAGAGCAGAAGAGCAGGCGTGTTCAAAAGTTGTGCAAGCAGACATTACTGAAGGTCAAGATAAGGTCCACTTCTCGTGTCTGTTAACATGTATTGAAAAGCGCACAATCGTTTAGAGAAGACCTGTTCGAACCTGAACGTGCTCTGCCTAATGTGTTTTCATTAAGTCAGTATCCCAGATTTTCACAAAACCTAATAATGTGCAGGATCTGACAAATGTGGAGAGTGTGGAAGCAATGGTCATTATGTCACCGTTATTAATAGGATTGTCCAATACTCATTTTCACATACAAAAATAATTAAGAGGAATAACAAACGAATGTAGTAAAATACAACTGTTTGCCAAGTTTGTTTTAAATAGCAACTCAGGCAATTCATTGAGATAACACTTTACAATAGCAATAGAACTTCATGGTACTGACAAATAATCTGTAACACAGGATCGTCCCACTGAATTTAAATATGATTACAGCAGTATGAACAACTTTTTTGTTTCTATAATGCAGCATACTTTGATAATTCAAATATTTACAACTCAAAAAGCTAAAACACACAATGTTCTAGAAAAGAGACCGTATAATTATCATGACAAAAAATACTGTAAATGATATGATTTGTGGATTATTGAACAATAAAAAGCACTTTGTTACTAATCAGGTCAAAAATGTACCATATGACAGTGATCTATAATATGTTCGTAGCATGATAAACTGATACTGTAACCAGTCCTGTTGGTTTTCTGCTAGTCTTCCCACAAATAGTGAAATTAAGAAGCTCGATCTTTGGGTTTGTGCTAATTCTAAAGTTTGGATGGATTTTGACGATAATTTTTTCTATTTGAAGGTTTGCTTGTATATGTGTATTTACATTTTACATATGAAGGTATTTGGAGAGATCTTTTCTTTTTTCTGCAAAAAAATACAGTTTGTATTGAAACAGTATTTGATTAGAGTAGTATAAATGATGGTGGTTGTTTTAAAGTTTGCTTAAAAATGTGGTATAACATGCCATATAGTAGCATATCGCCCAGATGGAACTTATTTCAAGAACCTAAAAATATTGGCCCAATAAATTGGTTGCTATTGATATTGTGGCATTTTAATACTATATCACACCTTAAGAGCAGTTATCATCTCAACCCGAGTTCCTGCAAAGAGGGGTCTGGAAAATTGTTATATTATTATTATATTATTTTTAAATACTTACTTACTTACTTATTTTACTTATTATATTATTTTACTTATTATACTTACTTATTGTGTAAATACTTACTTACTTATTGTGTTTGCTTCATATAATCCCTTTTCAAACAATGTCACGGGAAATTGGCTGAGAAGATTTGTAAAGATTTGTAAAGTGTAAAAAAGTGTAAATTTGTAAAATTTGGAGAGATTTGTAAAGTGTAAAAAAGTGTAAATTTGTAAAGTTTTTGGCAGGTTTAATAAATAATTCTATAAAATAATTATATTCAACTCTATTCAACAATATAGAGATTATCAGGATGGATGAAGTGATTAAGAGTCCAGGATCTTTGTCGAAGTTTTTCGCCCTGTTATAGCCCACCAATCAGGGCTCATTGGGTTGAGGTTAGGGTTATTGGTGATATCACATCCCACTATCATGACAGTGACAGGCCTAGGTGTAACTCCTCCCACATTTCTCCTCCCTCTTCCTCCTCTGTCAGACACGACACAGATAAAGTGAGTGCTCCTTCTGGCCGCATATCTCTGTAATAACACACAATCAGACCTGTGCTTTCGCCCCTTTGCCAGGCGACTGCGAAGGGGGCGAAACGGGAGAGTATAAACAGGGCTCACCGCGGTCCGGCTCAGGTTTCCCAGGAGCGCAGAGGCATCCTCCGGACAGCTCGCACACACAACAAACCGCTCCGGAAACACGCGCAGATCTGAGGGCAGACGGAGACAGAGCAGAGAGCGGCTGTTAATATCGCAGCCTCACCTCTAATTACAACATGGAGTCAGGCGGAGGGAAATGTGGTCGAATATTGCCGGGGCATCAACGAACACCACACACACACACACACACATCGTCTCTGCAACCAGAAAATCTAATGACAGTTTAGTGGACGTTTATAAGCCCCATAAGCCACGTGAGATATGAGCTATGAACTATTGGATCACTTCACTGCTATTTCTAACAGTTTACTATAAAAACACAATCAAATATGCTTATTTGACAGACACAATTGTTAACCACAATCAGAGAAAATGTTTGGTCGCAGCTCGTATGGCACTTTTCTCCTGGTCAATGCTGAAACTGATCCGCAGCTCTGACTACCTCCGCACTCCATCCATCACTTCATGTTGCTTAACGTCCTGCCTGATAAAGCTGTGACATGAGACTAACATCGGTTTCTGGGAAAGAGAAAAGGAAAAGAAGAAGTGACCTAGTTACTTAGTGAGTTTGTGTTGGCCCGTGGTGTAATTTGGGGGTTTTGAATAGAAATGGAATTCAACCATGATAGTTTTTACTTCAAAGTGGTTGAATGTGTAAACTTGAGCCAATCAAAACAAATGATGTAAAGTGACGAGCTTGTGGAACTGCAGTAGAGTGCTCAGGTAAAGGCTGTAGAAGTATAATAGAGAATACTATTATATAACTACCGTTTACAGTGTAATTGCCTTTTCGTTTGAATTTTGCATTATTTTGGTTTTACTAGCAAACCTTTGATTAGTAATTGCAAAGAGAAACCCGCATTCAAATGAGGGATTTTCTTTAGCATTGTAGAGTTAAATCGCATTTAATCAAAAGTCCCAGGCATTCATTATCCTCTGCTTTTATGGTGGTAAACTCACTTTTAGTGATTAATCTAAGATACAGTATGTATAATTGTATCTAAATTCCAACAAGCATAAAGTGGTTTAGAACGGTTTCATTCTGCAACAGGTCACTCCCATGCGTCTCCCCATCCAAAGCCTGCGGGTGTACAGTAGATATTAACTGTACAGACAGGAAGAGGGCCAGATCGGTCCCATGGAAGGGTCAGTGGGGGTGAGTGGCTCTAGATGGGGCGTGGAGAGAGATTCCTACTGCCCTCCATAGACACGGCTCTCACACTCCCAGTAGCCTCTCAGGGGATCCACTTAATAGCAGGCTGGACTCAAGCAGGTAGGGACAGGACATAAAAACAAGTGAGGGGAAGAAAAGTCAACACGCCAACCACAGGAGCTGACTGGGATTTTCTGTGGGAAATGTGGCTGGATATGAGCCTTTGAGACATCAATTTATGAAACATTAAAATGAGAATGCAGTCATTGAATCTGGGGAATGGGTTTACTGAACAGGACATACCTCCATAAAGCTGCTTAGCGATGCATCTGAGGCTGGAGTGGCGCTTTAGGAAGCTGGCAGCCAAGTAAAAGCCATCTCCTAAACACAGAGTTTATTTAGATCAGTGTTTACTATTAATAAAGTCAAGATATATTTTTACAAAATTTGTCCACCTCCACGTCAACAGCATTCTTTGTAGAAACAATTGTTGATTTGCAAATAGAAGATTAGAAAATTGAACAATGAAAATAATTGGTCAAAAAAGATGAGCAAATAAACTCTCACAAGAATAAAGCAAAAGGATGATTGTGCCAGGGCTTGTCCTTCGAGACCTCTTCCTCTGGAAGATCAAAATGCTCATGCTCGTTTATGAAGAGCTTCACAATCTGGCACCTCCTTGTTTATTTATTTTTGTTGTAATTAAAAATACATTGTTTTACATAGCTTTTTTAGGTAAGACTTGCAAACTCCCAACAAGTAGAGCAAATAATGTCTGCTCTGCCTTTGTTTGGGCTGAGACCCAAACAAAAGCAGAGCAGACATATTTGAACAAAATAATACATTGTACTTATGTGGCGCTTTTCAAAGCACTCAATGATACTTCACATGCCATCATTCATTCTCTTCATACACAATCGTGTAGCCAACAGTAGCCACAGCTGATGTGGGGCAGACTGATAGAGAATCAGCTTTCTCTCGGCGCCCAGTAAATCAAATGCTTTGCCTTATCACATCAGTGCTACAGCTTTAATTGCATTTAAGAGCAAGCTAAAGACCCATTTGTTTCAGTAGAGTTTTAATGCCTCTCAGAGAATATATGATCCCAGTTTGTTTCACTGCTCCACCTGTTCTTAAGCAAAATGAGTCATTTGTATGAAATGTGCTTTACAAATAAATTAAATTCCAATTCACGTCTCCATCTTAAATAAATTCCTTGTTATCTACTGCACTTGTATGACGTCATGCAGACAATAATGTATTTTATCTTTAGATGTAATATTTCCCCACCACTGGATTAGATTAACTTGATACGATTCATCACATACAAAGAGCTGACAATCAAGGCACAAAATGACGTTAGAAAAGCAAGTTATTCTAATGACATAATCTGGTTTATGCTCCAATCATTTTGGTTAATGAAAGGATATTAAAATTCCACAAATGCCATTACATTAAATACGGCTTTTGAGTCGACTGATGCGGACAGCTGTGATTTATGGCAATAATACACACACAATACCATGTGGCAACAAAATTATGTGCTGTCAACTGTTTAATAGCAATGCTTTTACAAATACTAATTTGTTTGATTCATTTATACCAGAGAATGTCCTTAAATACACAAATGATAAGATTTATTTCTTCCCTGTGTGGGAGACTGTGTGGAAGGTTGAGATACACTTAGATCTGTAACTAACGATTTAAATGAGAGTGGATTCATCTACTTTATCTAAGTTTATCATTTTTATTTTTATTCATTGTTCCAAACGTCAATAGATTTTTTTATTTCATTTTGACGCAGATAAACCATAAACTGAAAGAGGACATCCTGATTGATTTTTTTGTAGGACAGATGTTGAATCATTAAGTGAGTCAGTAAGTCATTAAGTATTTTCCAATCACTCACAAACGGTGACAACAAAACGAAGACGACGAAAACACTCTTGCGCATTGAAGCCTCAAACCATCCATCACCATCCATTCACTAACTCATTACATTCATACGTAGTGTACATGTTTTTAATGATAGGGAAACCGGAGCACCTAGAGGAAACCTATGCAGACACAGGGAGAACATGCAAAGGCGGGTAACTACATCGCCATGCCAGCTCTACATTTAAATAAAGTCAGATAGAAACAGGTCTAAAAATCATGTCTCCCAGCAAAAAAAATGTGCTGATATTTGTACAGTGAGAGTAAAAAGTATTTGATCCCCTGCTGATTTTGTTGGTTTGCCCACTAATAAAGACATGATCATTCTATCCTTTTAATGGTAGATGCATTTAAACATGGTGAGATAGAATATCAAAAAGAAAATCCAGAAAATAACTTTAAGGAATATATTTCAATTCATTTGTATTTCATTGAGGGAAAAAAGTATTTGATCCTCCTAAGTCTGGCTTTCACAGAGCAGTTAGACACTCCCAATCAACTTGGGAATTGAAGACTGAGATGAAGACAACTGTTCCAACTAATCACCTGTATAGAAGACACCCAATCAGAGACTCAGACGGTTCCAACCTCTCCAACAAGGATAAGACAAAATAATTCTCTCAGGACCTCAGAGACAGGATTGTTGACCTCCACAAATCTGGAATGGGCTACAAAATCATTAGCAAGAGGCTGGGAATCAAAGTAACAACCAATGGTGCAACTGTTAGAAAATTTAAAAAGTATAACATGACTATCAACAGAACTGGATCTGGTGCTCCACAGAAGATTTCACCTTGTGGGGTTGCAATGATCATGAGAACTGTGAGAAATCACCCTGCAACCATTCAGCAGGAGTTAGTGAATGACCTCAAGGCAGCTGGGACCACAGTCACCAGGAAAACAGTTGGCAACACTTTGCGACGGAATGGGTTAAAATCCTGCAGTGCCCGCAAGGTAACCCTGCTTAAGAAGGCACATGTGGAGGCCCGCCTAAAGTATGCCAAAGATCACCTCAAAGATGCACAAAGTGATTGGGAGAAGGTTCTATGGTCAGACGAGACCAAAATTGAACTATTTGGCCTAAACTCTACACGTCGTGTGTGGAGAAAGAAAAATGCTGCCTATGACCCAAAGAACACTGTGCCCACCATCAAGCATGGAGGTGGAAGCATTATGTTTTGGGGGTGTTTCTCTGCCAAGGGCACAGGGCTACTACATCGCATCAGTGGGAAGATGGATGGAGCCATGTACCGTGCAGTCTTGAGGGACAACCTCCTCCACTCTGCCAGGAAGCTGAAAATGGGCCGTGGTTGGATCTTCCAACATGAGAACGATCCAAAGCATACAGCAAAGGCAACAAAGGAGTGGCTCAAGAAGAACCATATTAAGGTCATGGAGTGGCCCAGCCAGTCTCCGGACCTCAATGCTATTGAAAATCTATGGAGAGAGCTGAAGGTCCGAGTTGCCAAGCGACAGCCCACCAACGTGAATGATTGAGAGGATCTGCAAAGAAGAGTTGGCCAATATTCCCCCTGATATGTGTGCTAACCTTGTGGTTAACTACCACAAACGTCTGACTGCTGTGCTTGCAAACAAAGGCTTTGCCACCAAGTATTATTTGCTTTTGTCTAGAGGGATCAAATACTTATTTCCCTCAATGACACACAAATTAATTAAAATATAGTCTTGAAAGTTATTTTCTGGATTTTCGTTTTGATATTCTGTCTCTCCATGTTAGCATACATCTACCATTAAAAGTATAGAATGATCATGTCTTTATTAGTGGGCAAACCAACAAATTCAGCAAGGGATCAAATACTTTTTACTCTCACTGTATATAGAGGTGTTAACAATTAATGGATTACTAAAACATCCATCCATCATCCATCTTCTTCCCCTTAATCCATTTCTGGGTCAGGGGGGTGGCAGTCAGAGCTGCACCAGTACACAGAGCACCAGCCCCTCACTGATCCTCCTGCAGGTGGTGAGTCCACAGAAGCTGAGATCTTTCAGCGGGGGCTTCAGGCAAAGTGGGGTTAAGTGTCTTGCCCAAGGACACAACGACAGCAGACATCAGTGGGAGTCGTGAAGCCGGTCTTGCGGTGGGCTCAAACCCACAACCTGCAGGCTCAAAGGCCAATGCTTTAACAACTGAGCCACTGTCGACCCAGCAATTACTAAAATAGTAGTTGAATATTTAAAAAAAACTATCTGCTTATTTTTACATTCTCAAAATATATTTGATATATAAATATATGTAATTAAATATATGTGTGTGGATTTTTGTACAGCGTGTCTAACTGTAACCGCTTTTCAAAAGGACCATGATGCAATGCCTTAAAACATGAATGAAAACGCTGAAACCGATACTACAACCAAGATTATAGGAAAGATACTTGAATGGACATTTTATGAATGGGAAGTGCAGTAAAAGAAAATGAACAAATACATCAGTCAGCAGGCTTTGGTTCGCAGAGCCTGGGACTTAACTCTATTTCCGAACACTTGTGCTATCGACCTTTGCCAAGAGTCAAACATGGACGTCTTTTAGCCTCTTGGATGTGATAATATTTCCACATTATCCATACCCCTGTGTTTTCTCAGTGTGCGGGCCTGGCAAGTCCACTCCTATGAGCTCATTTATAGAGTGAGAAAGCATTTATTTCCTTTTAATTGAACTGCCCTCCTGCTCTGGCATCTGTTGAACCAAGCGCTGTCTCTGCTCTATTTGTCATGGAATGTTTGTCATGGTATGTCGGATCCACTGGGCAGAAACAGTGGCCTGTTGCCTAATCTGCCAGGAATTTGTTGACTAAAAGCAAGGCCACGGCTAACACGCCATCCAGTTGTTCTGAGTAAACAAGACGGCGATCCTGGGAAGCTAACCGAGCACTGAGAGATCAATATCGAGCTAATGCACGGAAAGGCTGCTCTGTGGATCTTCCAGTGACAGGGGCGTGTGCAATGCATCTGTGGCTCTTACAAATTAGTTTATGTTAAGGGGAGGATGATACTGACAAAAAGTAATAGATATGCTTTGTAATAACAATATTCAGGTGATAAAAGGAAAGTTTGTGCGTCTGTGCAAGAATGAAAAATCCCAGTTCAGGTTCAATTTGCACAATTGAGTATATGACTTTGTAAGAGAGGGGCGGAGCTGTCAACCGATCACCACCTGGTCGTGAGTTGGATCCGCTGGCAGGGAAAGAAGCCGGTCAGACCTGGCAGACCCAAGCGTGTAGTGAGGGTCTGCTGGGAACGTCTTGCTGAGACCCCTGTCAGACGGACTTTCAACTCACACCTCCGGGAGAGCTTCTCCCAGGTCCCGGCGGAGGAGGGGGATATTGAGTCTGAGTGGACCATGTTCTCTTCCTCTATCGCCGATGCGGCGGCTCGTAGCTGTGGTCGCAAGGTCTCTGGTGCTGGTCCCGGCGGCAACCCCCGAA